AGGCAGACATAGATAGACTCATGGAGTCATATAGCACGGTAACAGACCCTTCAGTCCAAGCCCATCAGAATCCCAAACTAAACTCGTCCCACCTGCCTGCTCCAGGCCCATATCCCTCCAAACCTTTCTTATTCATGTACTTACATAAATGTCTTTTAAACATTGTAAATGCACCTGTATTTACCAACCTGCTGGAAGTTCATTTGACGTATGATCCACTCTCTGTGTAAAAAAAGTTTCCCCTCATGTCTTTTTAAAATTTCTCTCCTCTCACCTTAAAAGTATTCTTCGTTGTCTTGAAATCCCTCACACTAGGGAAAAGACACCTGCCATTCACCTTATCTCTTCCTTAATGACTATATAAACCTCTATAAGGTCACCCCTCAAACTCCTACACTCCAGTGAAAAAAATCCCAACCTATCCAGCCTCTCCTTATAACTCAATCCCCCCATTCCGAGCAACATCCTAGTCATTCTCTTCTGAATCCTCTCCAGCTTAATAATAACCCTTCTATAACACCATGACCAGAACTGGACAGTACTCCAGAAGAGGCCTCACCAACGTCCTGTACAACCTCAACATGACTCCCAACTCCTCTACTCAAAAGGTCTGAGCAGTGGAGGCAAGCTTATTAATCAACTTCTCAACCACCCTGTCTAAATATGACACAAACTTCAAAGAATTATATGCCTGAGTCTGCTTTTAATTCTGTACGTCCTGAGGTTGTTTCTTTTACCAAAATGCAATAACTTGCATTTATCCAAATTAAACTCCATCTGCCACTCCTCAGCCCAATGATCCAATTGATCAAGATCTCTTTGTATTCTTAGATAACCTTATCCACTGTCAACTGTACCACCAAATTTGGTATCATCCACAAACGTACTAACCATACCAGCTATATTTTGATCTAAATCATTGCATAAATGACAAACTAACGTGGACCCAGCAGCAATCCCTGTGGAACATGCTGGTAACAGGCCTTCAGTCTGAAGAATAATACTCAACCACGAGTCTGTGTCTGCTGCCATTATGCCAATTTTGTATCCATTTGCCAAGCTCACCATGAATCCCATGTGATCTAACTTTACTAAATAATCTACCAAACAGAAGCTTGTCAAAGTCTTCACCAAAGTCCAAGTAAACAATGTGTATTATCTGCATTCATCAATCTTCTTGGTTACTTCCTCAAAAAACTCAATCAATTTTGGGAAACACAATTTCACTCGCATAAAACCATACTGAATAGGCCTAATCATTCCTCGCCTCTCCAAATGCATATAAATCCTATCTTTCAGAATTACTTCCAACAACTTATCCACCACTGAAGTCAGACTCGCAGGTCTACAGTTCCCAAGTTTCTTCTTACATCCCTTTTTAAACAAATGCGCATCATTACCCACTCTCCAGTCATTCAGCACCTCACCCATATTTATAGATCATGCAAATATTTCTGCAAGAGGCCCAGAAATTTCCTCCCTAACTTTCCACAATGTTCTGGGATACACTCAGGTTCCAGAGAATGATCCATCTTGACATTTTCAAAGACCTCCCAAACTTCCTCTTCTCTCGTGTGAACTTTTTTCAAAACATCAATATTTATTTCCCTGAGTTCTCTTGCCTCCATTTCTTTCTTCACAGTAAAAATTGACATGAAATATTCATTTAATATCTCTTCCATCTCATGAGGTTCAACACAAAGGTGACCTCTTTCACCTTTAATGGGCCCGACTCTCTCTCCAGTTGGTCTCTTACTCCTAATGTACTTGTAGCGTCTCTATGGATTACTGTGAACCCCATTTGCCAAGATTATCTCACACACTTCCTTTGCCATCCTGATCTCCCAGTTTGGAATATCACCACTGTCTTTATACTGTCAAAGAGATTCTTTTGAACCCAGTTATTTATATCTAATATGCGACTTTATTTTTATATGACAAGCCCTTCATCCTTGCGATCAATCTTGTAAATCTGCTCTGGAACGCTCCAACGCAAGCACATCTTTCCTCAGATATAGGACCAAAACTTCTCATAATATTCCAAATGCAGTCTGACTAGAGCCTTTTATAGCCTCAGCAGTACACCCCTTGTCTTGTTTGTTAGCTCTCTTGCAATGAATGCATACATTGCATTTGCCTTTCGAACCACAAACTGAACTTGCATGTTGATTTAAAGAGAATCCTGAACTAGAACTCCCAAATCCCTTTGGACTTCAGATTTCTGAAGCTTTTCTCCATTCAGAAAATATCTATGTCTCCAGTCTTCTGACCCAAATGTTTCCCATACTGTATTCCACCTGCCACTTCCTTGACCACTCTCGCAGCCTTTTCATTCTGAAGCCTTCACGCTTCCTCAACATGACATGTCCCCCCACCTATCATTATGTCATCTGCAAACTTAGCAGCAATGCCCTCAATTCCTTTGACCAGATCATTAATCCAGAACATGAATAATGGTGGTACCAACACTGACCCCTGCTGAACTCCACTAGTCTTCTGGATGCCACCCTGAAAGAGACCCCTTTATCCCAACTCTCTGCCCTCCTCCAGTCAGACAATCTGCAATCCATGCCAGTACCTTGCACGTAACACCACAGACTCTTACCTTTTTTAGCAACTTCCCGTATGGCATCTTGTCAAATGTTTTCTGGAAATCCAACAGATCACAGGCTCTCCTTTATCCAGGTTGTTCAGTACCTTCTCAAAGAATTCCATTAGATTTGTCAGGCATGAACCCAACCCCCCTTGACAAAGCCACACTGTCTCTTCCAGGTCCTCTGTGATCACATCCTTACAATGACCTGCCACACTGTGTTTAACACGAAGCTAATCATTTGACTTTTATCCAGAATATTAACACATTGGTTTCAGTCCTGAATGTGACGAACAGCAAAGTCCAATTGCTGTTGAGATCTGTGAACTCTGTGCTGTCTCAGCAGGGTTGATGTGTAAGTGAATTCCTTACCCCACATGGAGCAGGTGAATGGTTTGTCCCCCATTGAGATCTCTCTGCTGTCACAGTAGGGTCGATAAGTGAGCTAACTGTTTTTCTCACATGGAGTAGGTAAATGCTTTCTCCCCTGTGTGACATCGCTGGTGTACTGAGAGTTGAGAAGATCGCCTGAACCCAACCCCACAACGAAAGCACATGAAAGGTCTCCCATCATGTGAACATGTTGATGGGACATCAGTTCCACAGAACTTCGATAGCACTTCCCACAGTCTGAGCATTTGAAAGGTCTCTCCTCAGTGTGAACACGTTGATGACAAGTCAGTCCCCAGAAGCTTGTATAGCACTGCCCGCAGTCTGGGCATTTAAAAGATCTCTCCGCAGTGTGAACTTGCTGGTGTCTCAGCAGGTTGGACGACCGAGTGAATCCCCTCCCACACTCGGAGCAGCTGTACGGTCTCTTCCCAGTGTGAACCTGCTGGTGTTCTGTGAGGTCAGATGATCGCCTGAACCCAGTCCCACAGAGAGAGCATCTAAATGGTCTCTCCTCAGAGTGAACACGTTGGTGGGACATCAGGTCCCTGGAGGTTTTGTAGCACTTCCCACAGGCTGGGCACTTAAAAGGTCTCTCATTAATGTGAGCAAGTTGATGCGACATCAGGTCCCTGGGACTTCTAAAGCACATGCCACAATTTGGGCATTTAAAAGATCTCTCCTCTGTGTGTGCAATTTGATGGGCCATCAGGTCCCCAGATGTTTTATAGTATTTTCCACAGTCTGGGCATTTAAAAGGTCTCTCATTAGTATGAGCATGTTGATGGGATGTCAAGTCCCCAGAGGTTTTATAACATTTTCCACAGTCTGGACATTTAAAAGGTCTCTCATTAATGTGAGCTAGTTGATGGGACGTCAGGTTCCTGGAGGTTTTAAAGTATTTTCCACATTCTGTGCATTGAAATGGTCTCTCCTCAGTGTGAACTAGCTGGTGTTGCAGCAGGTGAGATGACTGAGTGAATCCCTTCCCACACACTGAGCAGGTGAATGGCCTGTTACTGGTGTGACTGTGTCGATGAGTTTCCAGCTCAGATGGGTAAATGAATTCATTGCCACAATCCCCACATTTCCACAGTTTCGCCCCAGTGTGACTGCATTTGTGGTTTGTGAGCTCTGATGATTGGCTGAAGCCTTGTCCACACACACAACACGTGTAAGGTTTCTCTCCAGTATGAATGGAGCGTTTTCCTTCCATGCTTAAAATCTGATCACGTTCTATTTGTGATAAAATCGGCGACTCCATCAGATTCTGGTGTGATGGTTGGTTTGTAAATCTTCCCCATCTAATATCCTGTGAAATTGATGTTAAACAAACAACAACAGTGAGAAAGAATCTCTCACAAGACTCTGCATTCTGTATGAAGATAGGGACTGAAGGAGAGGGATTTTTGACACCTACAACTTGACCATAACTTTGTCAGAATCTTCCAAATACTCAGCCTCCACCACCTAGAAAGGGCAGGGTAGCAGCTGGATGTGAACACCATCAGCTCCCAGTTTCCTCCAGGTCACACACTGTCCTGACATGTCTGACATCCAAACCTAATGCAGCAGAAATTTCCCCCACTTAAGAAAAACTGAGGCCGTTGTCTTCAATCCCCAACACAAACTACACTGCCTCACTACTGACTCCATCCCCCTCCCTGGCAACTGTGAGTCTGAACCAAACATGTCATTATCGTGGTCAAATATTCCACCCTGAGATGAATTTTTAACCACATATCCCCATCATCACAAAAACTGCCCACTTCCACCTCAGCAACATCATCTGACTCTTCCTAGTCTCTGCTCATCTGCTGCTGAAGCTCTTATCCATTTCTTTGTTACCTCTGGACTGAACTATCCTTATGTACTTCCCACTGTCCTCTCACATTCCCCACTCTGCATTTGTCTAACTTCCTCTGCCTCTATTTAGAGCTCTGTTTGGTGTTTTATTGTTCCTTCCACTGACTGTATCTCAATGAGGCTTTTATCACTGCCCTTTCTCTCAACCATGTGCTGCTGCCTTCGCAGCTTTACCTTCTGACAAGAGCTCCCACAATGCTGTAAGTGAAGGAGCTGTGAGTTATTTACCCAGTGATGTAATCCTGAGGTCATCCAAAACTCTGCTGCCCACTTCTGTATTCGCACCAAGACTTGTTCATTCACCATTCCGTGCTTGCACAGCTAAATTTTAAGTTTTACCTCCTTCTAGTCAATGCTTTGATAATGTCCTATCTATCTCTGTAAGGTCCTCCAACTTTTTCATTGGCAATTAGGGCTGGCCAGAAACCCACCAGCAATGCCCACATCCCAAGAATGAATTTTTAAAAAGGCCCTTCAAGATATCTGCATTATATCATATTCCAACCTCCTGAGCATTCTCGATTTTAATTGTTCCACATTTGG